GTGTCCCACAAGAGTGTCCCACAAGAGTGTCCTACAAGAGTGTCCCACAAGAGTGTCCCGTATGAGTGTCACACAAGAGTGTCCCACAAGAGTATCTCACAAGTGTGTCCCACAAGAGTGCCCGACAAGAGTGTCCCATAAGAGTGACCCACAAGAGTGTTCTACAAGAGTGTCCCGTAAGAGTGTCCCACAAGAGTGCCCTATAAGAGTGTCCCACAAGAGTGTCCCACAAGAGTGTCCCGCAACCGTGTCCCACAAGAGTGTCTCACAAGAGTGTCCCTTAAGATTGTCCCACAAGAGTGTCCTATAAGAGTGTCCTACAAGAGTGTCCTACAAGAGTGTCCCACAAGAGTGTCCCGTATGAGTGTTCCTACAAGAGTGCCCCACAAGAGTGCCCCACAAGAGTGTCCTACAAGAGTGTCCTACGAGAGTGTCCTACAAGAGTTTCCCATAAGAGTGGCCCACAAAAGTGTCCTACAAGAGTCTCCCGTAAGAGTGTCCCACAAGAGTGTCCTACAAGAGTGTCCCACAAGAGTGTCCTACAAGAGTGTCCCGTGAGAGTGTCCCACAAGAGTGTCCTACAGGAGTGTCCCACAAGAGTGTCCTACAAGAGTGTCCCGCAAGAGTGTCCCACAAGAGTGTCCCACAAGAGTGTCCTACAAGAGTGTCCCAGAAGAGTTGTTTCGTATGAGTGTGCCCCACAAGAGTGTCCCACGAGAGTGTCCCACAAGAGTGTCCTACAGGAGTGTCCCACAAGAGTGTCCTACAAGAGTGTCTCACAAGTGTGTCCCACAACCTACAAGAGTGTGCTACAAGAGTGTCCCGTAAGAGTGTTCCACAAGAGTGTCCTACAAGAGTGTCCCACAAGAGTGTCCCGTATGAGTGTCTCACAAGAGTGTCCCACAAGAGTGTCTCACAAGTGTGTCCCACAAGAGTGTCCTACAAGAGTGCGCTACAAGAGTGTCCCGTAAGAGTGTTCTACAAGATGTCCCACAAGAGTGTCCTACAAGAGTGTCACGTAAGAGTGTCCCACAAGAGTGTCCCGCAACAGTGTCCCACAAGAGTGTGTCACCGGAGTGTCCCTTAAGAGTGTCCCACAAGAGTGTCCTATAAGAGTGTCACACACGAGTGTCCTGCAAGAGTGTCCCATTAGAGTTTCCTACAAGAGTGTCCCGCAAGAGTGTCCCACAAGAGTGTCCCATAAGAGTGACCACAAGAGTGTCCTACAAGAGTGTGCGACAAGAGTGTCCCGCAAGAGTCTCCCACAAGTGTCCTACAAGAGTGTCCCACAAGAGTGTCCTACAAGAGTGTCCCGTATGAGTGTCCCACAAGAGTGTCCCATAGGAGTGTCCCGTAAGAGTGTCCCAGAAGAGTTTCCCAGAAGAGTGTCCCACAAGAGTGTCCCGCCAGAGTGTCCCACAAGAGTTTCCTACAAGAGTGACCCACAAGAGTGTCCCACAAGAGTGTCCTACAAGAGTGTCATTTGGACATATGTAGCTTTTCGATCGTGTTTGCATTCGGGTTCGTGGGCGGCTCCATCTTGTTCTTTTTTATCTCTTTTTCTGGGGGGCCCACTACTGCAAGAGGTACTGGCACTGGAAATCTAATCCTGAGGTGAAGACTATCCACATGGAGTTGGCACCCACACTTCAGGCTTTCAAAGCCGAATCCTTTCGACGCGCTCCGTCCGACCGCTCGGACGTTCACACGTCGTGGGCTCTTTTTGGGACTTGTCCTGGGGTTGGGCACTGGTCCCTCTGGGAAGAATCTTCGCTGGCCCCTGGTTGCAACAAGGCCAATTGTTTTCCACCAGCCAGGCCAGCCAGGCCATGTCTTTGAAACATTCAGGTCATGTTTTGCCCAGCCAGGGAGGAATCAAGCATGGAACCAAGGAACCAAGGTCCCTTCCAGCTCAAGGGGCACTTCAAAAAAGTCCAAATGAAGTGTGCAATCGGGGTTTGATGATCTTGAGAACATGCAACTTCCCACAACAAGGAAAACACAATCGAACTGAAAGTGCGTTCATTAAGGGCATGTGCTAACATACCAGGTGCAAAGAGTACTTAAAAATGGGTACCCTTTCCAACTACAAACTGCAGAGAGAGAGGTGCCCGTTTTATAGTGAGGGTAGCCTGGATGAATCTGGCCACCTGAACATTGCATTTGGTAGAGTGGTTGTTTTCAACTGGGTCACCCTGGGTCATAGAAGATAAGACATTTGGAACGCCATTTCATAGAGAAGCTGGTCTTCATACAGAAACAAAGGAGTCATAAGAGAACAAAAAGTTCATTGGAGAACAGACGCTCACTATATAATTTACGAAATATACAAGTATATACAAGTGACAATAGTAATAGACTTGACCTTGTTTTGCCTTTGTCTCTTTCTCCGTTTCGGGGATCGCCCTGTGTCTGTGTGTCTATTCCCTTAACAGGGGAAGACACAGGTATGTAGTACCAACATGTACCAACTAGTCAGTTGCACGAACAACATCCCACGGTCGCGCACAGACTGCGCTGTCGAAGTGGAGACTAATAGTACCCAACAGAGATGCTTTGGCTAAAGGTTGCTGCTGGTGCCCCACGGAAGATTGTTTGCAAGCGATGCCTTGCAGGCTGTGACAATCAACTCGTTCCAACCTCAAGCATGCACATTTCAGTTCGCCGCTCTCGTGGCATGTGATCGTCCACGTGAATCTAACATGGCTCACTTGCACAAGACATAATTCCCTGGTCCCTTTCTGAAATACTTTAAATTAGAATTGAGCCACGTCTTTGTCTTTGCTGCTGGAGCGAGCAACCACAACAGAGAGAGAGGGAGGGAGAGGGAGGGAGGAAGGGAGGGAGGGAGACCGGGGTCGGAACTGCCATCAGGTTGTCGGGACACGACCGGCCGCTTGCTTGGATTGCCTGTCGGGGCGCCTCGTGGCCGATGGCTGGATCGCCTAGGCACCCGCTGCGGCAATTCTTGGAGCCTTTCGTCACCCGCAACATCCAGGTGAGTGAGGATCAACTGGGAGTAACTAGGGCAACTATAGATTTATAGCATGATAACCTAGCAGCACGTAGCTAGGCCATTCATTCAAACGCGCCCCTTTCCACCTCGTGCGACGGGCACCTCTAGCCTGTGGAATTGTGATGAGTTCCTGTGGAATTGGGAAGAGTTGCGTGCATCGCATGGGCTAGTCTTCAGTGTCCGATACGTAGGCTGGGCGTCAGAAACGGGCCGTTCGCGCCCACGTGCAGGCGACCAACTCCAATCTGAAGGTTTGGTTCGACTTCCGCGGGGCGGAGTTTGGCTTGGCTCCCTTGAGTGTCGAGGACCGATAGGTCCGATAGGTCTTTTGGAGCCGGGAAGACTGGTGAGTGGTGGTGTGTGTTGTCGTGTGGATCTTTTTCTCACACCTGCAGTTTAGTGGCTCAAGCCCGCAGTAAGAATGACGCTCAAGCACTACTTCCAAGTCCAGATAGATAAATTATGATGATTGATATTGATCTTTGTAGCAGACTCGGCAGGCTTTGGCCAAAAGCATTCTGATGAGCTGCAAAAAGTCAAGCTTGGCTCATGCATCAAGCCACTTAGAACTCAAACCTTTGAGCCATCACGGACCATGTTGGATGGACATTTGGTTAAGTTAATATTTGATTTGGTTTTTCCTTCACAGTTTTTGTTCACAGCTTGCTTTGTGGTCATGTCCATCATGACCCCTTTTGCGGCTTTGGCCATCCTTGTTGGCTTTGTGTTGCTTTGCTTGCTTCGACGCGCCACTTGGCAACAGTGAAGGGATACCATTCCGAGACCTTGAATGAAGAGCTGTTCAGTAGACTGCCCTTGAAATTGACCTTGAGTGAGTTTAAAGATGTCAACGTGCTTCGGTTTTTTTGGGGTCCTCAGGTGCGGAGGAAACATGATGCCTTGCCATCTTCTCAGCCTGTTTTTCAAGGCCTTCGCTGTGGTGCACATCTTTCTTGTTGATCGTTGTCTGAGCTTTATACTATGCAACACGATAGGCTTAAACGATTTGCTGTTAAGAATAGGGTCATGTCATGACCCCCTGGCAATGAGTTGGCATGTCAAGCGACAACATAATATCTACCGTGGTTAGATTACAGTAGTTGTTGTTCCTCCTCGGTTCTTTTTTCTTGCTTTACATGTTTCTTTATCTTTTTCTTCTTCACTCCTTGTCTCTTGCCCTCTCTACCCCTCTCTTCTCGGGTCTAAACTGCGTTTCTTTTTGTTGTCCTCCAGACAGACTTGCACTTCCCACCTGCATGAAAACACGAAGACCCTCCGTGTCAAGAATGTTGCACACGCTTGGAGACCAACATGCAGATGTTTGGGCAGGAGAGGAGGAGATGGAAGAGCTGCCCGAGAGTGTGGCACCCTCAGATGAGATCAAGAATGTCGCGTTTAGTATACGTATATAATAAACAAATTCAGTAATGACAGATTTTGCTAGAATCAGCACTGTACAGCAGTGGTGTAAACATTTTGCCTGCATCCCTCAGGTTATCAAATCCTTCACATTTTGGGCCGGCGGTCTTGCTGGTGTGGTGTCTGCTGCTGCCACCCACCAGCTGGACGTAGCAAAGACGACGCTTGGATTTGTAAGGAAGTGAAGTGCAGTGTAGATGACAGCTGATGTGGCTGGCATCACTACTCACTACTCAAAAACAAAATAGATGTTTGCTACGTGGTCTCCGTGCAGTCGTCGTAGAACTGCCGGTAGATGGCAGCTGTACTATACATTGCTGGAGCCAGTTCCTTCTAGGCTGCGGCATGTGGGCAAATCAATGCCCGAGAAGTTCTCGGATTACTTTGTGGGAGCCTCATTTGTACAGCTCGTAGCTGAAGGCCCACTGAAGACACTGCAAACCACGTCACAATGTCTCATCACTGACTTGGACTGAATTGGAATCTGAGAGCAAGGATAAATAGACATATAGTAAACTATACACAAAAAGCCAGTCGTGGTTCAGCCGCTTGCGACTCAGCAAAGTCCAGCACTCCTGCACAGGTTGGAATGGCCATGGGCTCCTTTGCTCAAGGCTTCCGTTTTGCTGTCACCTTGATTCTCAACATGACTTTGCAGATGCTTGGCTGAGATTTGGGGAAGACCGAGAGTCCAAATATTCCAAATTATGCCGACCCAATATCAGCACACTCACGACACTCAGCCGCTGAAAAACCTCCAATATTCCCCATCCATGCTGCTCAGCATAGCGGCATAGCGCGCACCTCAAGCGGAACATCATGCTTCGCATCCTTTGCTTGTTACTGTAGCTGTAGCTCACATCAGTGCACTTCGTCATGAGCTTCTGCACTGAAAGCGCTGCATGTCTCAGGAAACGCCTGGACAAGTGGCAAAAAGATGCAGAGAGAAGAGCCGGACGATGCGACTTGGCAAGGCATTACAGCTTGGCTTGGTGCACTTCCAATGGGCTGCAAGCTCCAAAATCTTCATCACTGGCCTGTTCTGCCATGACCTTTGGATGTGACTGTAGATCACATTGGCGCAAGTCTCGAGAACATGCAGAACATGTAGCTCACATAGGTGTATATGTATACATACATTCGCGCATTGATCAGGACATGGCATAACCCAACATTGACACTGAACAACCAGAATCACACCATGCAGACTGATCTTTGAGCAGATACGATCATTTGCCAGGTAGCTGGCTGATTTCGCTGGCGCCCCAAATCCTCCCCCGTGTTTTTTGTTGTTTTGCATCCTTGCAGTTGAGATGGTTGAGGTTTTCCATCAGCATGCTGGCAGCTGGGATTGGCGAGTTCCTGGCCAATCCTCCAGTTGTGATTAAGAACTACCAGCCAGAGACCTACGTACACAATGGATGCTCATTATGAATACTTTTGCTCGTATCTACTTATTTTCCGGCATCAATTTGCACATTTGCGGAATATGCATGATGACCTGTCTCCAAGAAAGCCTTTGAGAGCACGCTATTTGGCTTGAGCGGCCCAAAGCATCAATGGTTTGCGCATGACTTGACATTATGTTTTGTTTTGTTTTGTGGGTGTTGTTCTGACAGAAGTCTACTCACCTAGGATTTCGAACAATGTGGACATTTGTACAGCCAGAACCTCAGCCTTGAGGGTTGGAAAGTCGAGGGGTTGCGCTCTGAGTTCCTGAGGCCTGCGAAGAACTGTGGGACGATGGAGGGCAGCCGCGATTCTTTAACGGAGCTGGACACTCAACCATTGAAAACATGCACAAAAATAACAAGTGAGTACGCATTGCATGCAAAGAGAGCATGTGTTCTTGAGGGTCGAATCTGTTGTCGCGCGAGACGTGGAACCAAAGGCGTTGGTGTCTTTTTCCAAGGTTGGCATGGGTGTGCTGCGGAAATCCCTTGCCAATGGGGTCAGAGACTTGGAGCTAGAAATGTTCACACTGCGATTTCAACCACGCAAGCCCACCAACTTATGCAGACTTTGAGTGTTGCAGACCTTTTGTGGCAGATGCCGCATTCTGGCGTTTCGGTTCTGTTGTGTGTGCCGTTGCCATGAGACAAGGTAGTCTTGCAGACGTGTGGGAGCTCAGGTTTCGCATCAGATCATGTCACCATGGGTAAATTCACACTAGCTGGTGGGGCATGAAAATAAGCCACCTCTGGACCCGAATGGTTGGCCAGTTCATCGCAAACTCTAGCAGACATGTCTTGGAATGCATCCTGTGCTTGGGCCCTTTAGAAGCGAAGGGGGTAAGGACGGCGAGGCAAACCCAATGCCCAACGCTCTATGCATATTCTGAGACGTTACGTTACTTGAGAAGGCCAATGTGTCAAAGAACTGTCACGATAGCAACACAATTGAGGCATGGCAGATCCAATCACCACTAAGACATTCCCAGAACTGGTCCAAATTGAAAGGCACATTGTGGCTCTGGAATTTGTCGCACCGATCGGTCCCAAATATTGAGGATCGGCCCCACCAAAGCCATCCTTGGCGTTGCATTTCCCCAGTTGCAGACGAACAAGGCAGGGTTTCATGGGTTGTGATGGCTTGCTGGGTGCGGGGTCTTTTGCAAGCCTGGTGTAATTTATCCATGCATGGTCTGGTTGTGGTGGGGTTTAAAGATGTTTAAAGGGGTGTTTTTTTTGCAAAGCAGGCCAGCTGGAATTCTGCCCTCCAGGGTTCAAGATGTTTCACAGCCGCTTCTTCACCATTTGCACGTCAGGTGATGCTGAGCTTTTGTGCTGGCAGCTTGACCGGAAGCTTCGCAGAAGTCATCACCAATCCACCGGACCAGGCCGAAGCCGTCGCCATTTCGCGAGACTTGGCTGACGGGGGCCACGGTTGAACAAGTGCCCTCGGCGCCAGATCTTGCCATATCAACTTGGGACGCCCAACTGCAAGTGTCCGGAGCAACGTGTTCATTTGTTGAGCTACGCGGGGTGAGAAGTGAGAAGGTCTTCTCCCCTGCGTGCCGTTGATCTATCAGCTGAATCATTGTGTGCGCGGCTGCGTGATAATTACGTAGAGACCGTAGAGATGCAACGAAACAGTTGCTCTCTGGTGAATGAGAGGTGAAGACGATGACGCAAGCGGGTGTGCACTGAGCTCAGGCATTGTATGATTAGAAATGGGCCCATCCATATCCATCCATTCTCACTCCAAGGCCTTTCTTTGAAGCGGTCAGCCTGGCTATGAGACACCCCTTCCGGGGTGCCGGTTTTGCCGGCTTGCGAAAGGCAGGGCTACCCGTTTAAAAGAACTATCTTCATGGAAAGCATGTGTGTTGAGATGCGGTACTGCCAGTTGTTGAAGTCGAGACATGTTTTTTTTTCAAATAGCAGATAGAAGGTGATGAGCAAACCAGGAAGCCGATACACTATAGCGTTTCCTTGCAGGGTAGAGTGTGTTGGTTAAATGCATGGTTTTATTCAATGGGCTTGTTTTACTCAGCGTTCACAGTGTTTTGATTGCACAAGACCTACCGCAAGGAAGTTGGCAGGCAACCCATAGGTTGTTTCTAGAGGATTCTAGAGGTTTCTATGCCCATAGGTTCCCCTTCATCTTGGGATTGTGGGTCTCATATCTCCAACCCTCCAAGGGCTTATAGGGCCAACCCTCGGAAGCAGGGTCCTCATGGAAACCTGGCTTCCGCTGTGAAGCGGGCACACTATTGAGTGGCATGAACTTGTGCCAGATGAGGTGTGCCCTTGGGGGAAAGCTTGATTGGGCTACCTTCGCTGGTGCTGCCGGTCTGCTGCTGGTTTTCTGCTGCTGCTGCTGCCTTGCTGCTGCTGGTTGGCTACTGCTGCTGCTGGCGGTTGGCTGCTGTTGGTTTGCTGCTGCTGCTGCTGGATGATTGCTGCCGGTGCTGCTACTTGCTGCTTGGTTGCTGCTGGTGCTGCTGCTTGCTGCTGCTTGTCGCTGCCGCTGCTGCGGCCTGGGCTACAAGGCCTACTCACTTGCTGCCTGTCATTGTCTTGCACGCCCTATGATGGTGTCCCAGCTTTTGATTGGTTGCCACAGTTGCATTGCAAGGACTTTGTGTTTGGGTGTTAGTGGGCATGGGTCTTCTGGGCAAACGTGTTCATCTCGCCCAATACCTCGCCCACATCTCGCCCTCTATCTCGCACAACCCACCAGGCACCAGGACCTCCAGAGGTGTGCGATGGGGATTGCCATTGTCACAACACATATGTGTATATAAGCAAAGGCCTCTTCAATTTACATGGCCCCCCAGGCAGGGAGCGACTTGCAGGTGTGCCATGCGGAAGTGTGTCCTGCACAGTCGTTGAACGACAGGAACGCGCGCACACAGACACCAAAGAAGGCAAAACGCAAGCTAACCATGGTTTTTTCGTGGTCTTAGCATACTTCTGGCAGAGATCGGAAGCCGATGTGCCATGGGGACAATGTGGGATTTGCTCCTGTGATGTGGGATTGGTGAAAACGGTGTGCCATGGGATGATGTGGTTTCTAGCCTCTGCTGGTTGGGTGCTGCTGCTGCTCCTGCTGCTGCTGCGCTGCGCTGTTTTGCTGCTGGTGGTCGGCTGCTGCCAGTTGCTGCTGGTTTGCTGGCGCTGGTTGGCTACTATACTGCTGGTTAGCTGCTGCTGGCTTGGTGCTGCCTGCTGTTTGGCTGCTGCTGGTTTGCTGCTGCCGGCTTGCTGCTGCTGTTTGGCCGCTGCTGGTTACCTTCTGCTGCTGTTGGGTTGTTGGTGTTGTTTTGCTGCTGGTTGGCTGCTGCTTGCTGCTGCCGCTGCCGCTGCCTGCGCTACAAAACCTACTCATTTGCTGCTGGCTGTTGTTGCACAAACCCTATCATTGTGGCAGTGTCCGGTTGTAAACTGGGCTTGGAAAGCATGGTTTTGGCTTACATGGCCTGTTTGGTGAAGCGCGGTGTCCCATGCGAAAACTAAGTGACTCTGCCGTGACTTAGTCGTGGTGTGGTGTCACAGTGTGATTTGCTTGCCGCAACTGCTTTGCAAGGACTTTCGTGTCTGGGTGGTTACCCTCGAGGTAGGAGCTTAAAGGTGGTGCCAACATGTGGGTGAGAATGGTGTGCCATGGGGGTTGGATCATTTCAGCCCATAGGAAACCTTAGAACCCATCAACGTGTAGAAGATTGAATCGCAATGGAATGGTGTAGGTTTAGAAACAATCTAGGGTAGGAGAAAAAGTGCTTGTTTCGAAGCGGTGTGCCATGGGGATTGGGAGAGGAATACACACAAGAATGCATAGATATTTTTGACGTTTAAAGAACAATTCCATGCTGTTTGCACTCCAGGTAGAAACTTAAAGCTGGTACCAACATGTGGGTCAAAATCGGGGTGCCATGGGGATTGGATCACGGCAACCCATAGATAACTCTTGAAAACATCAACATGTAGAAGGTTGAATCGCAATGGAATAGTGTAGGTTTAGAAACAATCTATAGGAGAAAAAGTGCTTGTTTCGAAGCGGTGTGTCATTTTGTCCAAATGGGGTAAGTTCTTACATTCGTGGGGTAAGCGGTGTGCCATGCGGGTGGGTCAAGTTCATGTGCGATGGGGTAAGTTACCACGTCGGGTAGCTCTCCAAATTGCTTTGCCATTGGGATTTGCAGTTGAAGTTTTCTCTTTTTGGAAAGGCGAATCTGGAGAACCTTGTTCTGTATGTAGCGTTTGCAATGGGGAAGGCCAGCAGTCTTGACTTAAGTACTGACTTTTGCAAATCGGCGTTCCATGGTGGTTTAGTATCCCACATGCAAAATGTATTAACTTCAACGGGCACCAGTAGGGTGTGGGGCAGTCCAGAGCTGCTTGGTGGGATCTGTTTGCAAACTGCGCAGCACATTCCTGCGGCCTTTGAGGGCATCATCCGTGGCATCAACTGGGGTGGGCTGACATTCTTCATGGCTGCCAAAGACTGAGAAACGAGAAATGAAATGACATGGAAAGACCCACTGGCATCAAACACAAGAGCCATTCATTCCTTTGAGTTTGGGGTCCGAGCAGTCCTTGAGTTGGGCCAGGTCTTTGAGTTGGCTTATCGAAGATATGGCATTGTAAAGGGCCGGAGGTTGCAACCTTGGCTCACACAGCGCGAGTGATTCACTAGAAGTACTGCATCCAATCCAATCTGTGAAGCATGGCAACCGGCCCAAATTAGGGTGAAGGTCTAGATCGCTGCTATCCTTTCCAAAAAGCCCGGGCGAACCTGGTGTCTCGCACGATGCGGTGCACGATGCCGCTCCGTCGCCGAGGCGCAGTGTCTCCAAAGAAGCGCTGGAAACCCACACAGAGTTTGCCCGAGCTGTGAGTGCACAAGCTGAGAGCTGACAGATGCTGACAGCCATGGTTTGTTTGAATGGCCTTTTGAATTGCTGCGCGCAACTTGCGAAGTTTTTACTGGGTTGAAGCGCCTCGACGACTCGACTCCTATAGCTGGGGAATGCTGGGGATTTGTGGGTGGCCAGTTCTTGAGAGTGTAGCTGCCAGTGGGCGACTGTAAGATCCCCCCGAAGAAAGCTGGCATGAGCATGATTGGACATGGTGGAAATATGTTGAAATTAATAAACACAATTGATCTTGACCTCTTGAATTTTGGCCATCACCACGAGTCCCGATGTTTTGTCGCATTGCTTGTGGAGCCGTGGAGCGACTGGAAAAATGAGCTGAAGAGGCAAGGGTGTGGCAGCCTCCACCACGAACCCACAACATTTTGCTTTCTTGTTAGAATGCCAGGCTCCGAGCCCTAATGAGTTGCTTTTGGTGCATGGCTGCTGTGGCACAACTTCTAAGATTCCTTTTTTGCAGATAGAAGCCATTGCGGCCACAGCACGACTCAAAGCTTTCATCTTTTTTCAAAACCTTTTGCTTTCGAGGAAGCATCTTGGATTGTTTCCCCTCCAGGAGCAGCTGAGGCTCATTTCGGATGACATGAAGGATGCTGGCTGCCCGGGCAGCGTTTCGTGTTTGCGTTTTCTGCTTCGCCTCTTCCTCTGTGACCTGGAGCGAAGGGCCATGAGTTGAGTGCACAGGCCCCCTTGGACTTGAGCAGCCTCGACCTGGAACGCTTCGCAGAGGACGGACTTGGAACGGAGGAACGGAGTCTGAACATAACCTGGTCGTCATAGGTCGCCAGGCTTCGGTGAACTGTTCTTTTGAATTGCCCAATTTCCGAATCCATGGGCGCAGTATCAAAGAGCAATTGTTAAATAGGCTGACCCTTGCTGCATCTTGCTGCTTTGTTTGATCCAGAATTGGGATTTTGGAGCGCCCATGTTGACCAGCATGATTGGGTCCAGCTTCCTCGCAATGATATAAACAGGTCCATAGGTGAGGTTTGCTTGACGGGCCGTTTGGATGGTGTGACACAATGCCTGATGTGCAGGCCCGTGGTTGGCCAAAGGTTGGCTTTATGCCAGATTGGTACCAACGAGGAAGAGAGGCGGCCCGTTCGGCAATAACCGACTTAGCCAGACAAGAACCATCAGGACGCTGCCCTGTGCACGAGTGTGTTTGTGTTTGTGTTTGTGTGTGAGAAAGGGAGCCTTTCGGTTACTTGCAGGGGGGCAATCCCACATTGCAGTCGATTGCCCAACGAAGAGGGCTGCAGTTGTGGCTGATATCCGGAAGGGACGCCTTCTGGACGTACCTGCATGCTTGTGGGGTTTGTAACAACACCCCAATCTAACCTTCAGGATGCTCTACATGACTTTCTCAGAAAGATGGTTGCCTAGGTCGTCGTGTGGGGCGAGTGGCTTTCAGTTCCCCACGAATTTCCCGAGTGTGTTTGGCCTAGTGCCAGCCCGGAGTGAGCCCAAAGACTGCGCCCTCCGTGGCCCCATCGAAGGGGGGTTTGTCTTCGTCCCTGCGCCCGGGACTAGATTTAGTCCACAGCGGACGAAGTAGGCTTGTGCGAGACGGGCCAGACGTCAGTTGAGATTGATTCTTGGCTGAATGCCGAGAGTAGCCCGCAGTGGGCCAGAGCAGGCTGAATGCCAGGAGTAGGCCACAGCGGCCGTAGCTCTTTCAGTCCGTTGGGGGACCGGCCTCAACCGTAGGTGCACACACGGCACGTACAGAAACCAGGCTAATTCTACGCAGGTTAGCTCTAATGGGGCTTGGCTTCACTTTTGCGCCCCCTCAATTTGTTTCCCTCTTAATATCTTCCCCTGCACACACTTTCTGTTCCTTTTTCTTTTCATGCCTTTCTGTCCTCATGTCTTGGCACCTCATCCCTTTTCTCTCATGCGCATACATCAGTCCGGCCC